ACCCAGGCCCACACGCTTTTAGGCGTCTAGATTGGCTTGTTTCGCGCAATTCATTTCAAGAATGGAAATAAGTTCGTCTTATTTGTGCGTATTTTTTAGGGAAAGGTGTGAACGTTTTAATGGAAAAGAACATCAAGTTGTGTCTGAAAAGTTTGCTCCTATTTCTGTTTCACTGCTTGCATGAGATCATATATGTTTTCTTACAACCAAGTAGTGCACTTGCGTTGAGCAGGATTTTTTTCGCCTGCCTTCTCGATCTTAGTTTTCACTTGACTTGATAATTGGTTTTCTTGCATCCATAGGTATTCTAGAGTTTTGTTCATAGTTAATGCATCTGCAATAGCCAAACCTCCATCGTCACCTATCTTATTATAGGATAAGCTCAGCTGCTGCAAGGTCTTGTTGAATTTAAGTGCCTCTGCAATCAACGTCACCTGTTCATCTACCAAGTTGCTATTAAAAATGCTTATTTGTGTAACAGTTGTGTTTTGTTTTAAGGCCTCTGCAATTATTCGCATTTCGTCCAAATTGATTGCCATGTTAGATAATGTTAGCTTTCGATAAGCGGTGTTTGTTACGAGCTCCTCTGCTATACGCCTAATTTCTTCTGACACTACCTCCTTTGCAGAAATATCTGAGGATTTTTCTGCGTTTCCTGACGCTGCAGAAGATTTTCCTTTTTCAACTTTAATCTTTGAAATCGATGTTGCTGTAGGTTTGTTTGATGGAACAACAGTAACAACTGGATTTGAAGCAGTAAGACTATGATCCGTAGGTGATGCTGAAGAAGCTGGTAGTTTTTCTTTTGTATGTTGCTTTCTTCGCACTACCGTGCTAAATATGAACCTTAAATAAGAAACTTACGTAAAAGGAGCACAATACTTACATGAGTCTGCGCGGACCGAATGGCGGTACAAGTAGTTCAATTTCAGATATTGTTTCACGGATATGAATAATATGCATATCTGAAGCCGGATTCGTCTTGCCCACAACTTCAAAGTGAAAGCCTGGTAGAAGTAAAATTTCATCTTCTCCTTCATAATGTGAATGGTTCTTGATTGCTTTACCACTTTCACATTCAATGTTGAACAATGTACGAACGCCGGTTTTGCCGAGAAACTGCTCTGTTTCCATAATATTCAATGAAGTAGCACATGAACTGAAGCTCCACCATGTGTACACTTGACCTTGTACATATTGATCGCTCACGTCAGCTTTGATGCCTCGCCAGACTGTTTTTTTCACGGACGGTAGTTTCCATAACCCGGACAAAAGCAATTTTAAATAGCCAAACCACAGGATTAAATGTTGCCGTTTTTCTGATCGAAGAGTTTTGTTGAGAACGTAGTACAAACAAGACTCTTGAGGGTGCCACTCCATTGTGTATAACTGAATGGCGGCAGATTCATGTTGATTAAGACCATCCTTTGGATTTGTACTATTTTCGACAGCGACAAACACTTTTGCGCTTATATGGGGAAACAGATGCTCGACTTTCACTATGGCTTCGTCCAGAGACATAATGTCGACATGTTGATATCCATCAATGGGCAACAGAAGTTTTCCAGATACATTACCAACATCGAGATACCTTTCCGTTGGATTTTCAGCATCAGCCATATGTAATGTTTTTGCGATATTTTATGAAGTGAATTTAACTATTCGTTTCGAATGTACTAGGGGTGGTACTTTACTTTTACTTTATAAAATAAAGGTAAATGAATCCTTTACTCTTAAAAAATAAAGATAAATGGATGCTTTATTTTCAAAAAATAAAGGTAAACGATCATTTATTTTTAAAAAATAAAGTTAAATAAATAAAGGAATCCTTTATTTTTAAAAAATAAATGAAAATGAATCATTTATCTTTAAAAAATAAAAGAAAAATAAAGGAATAAATGATACTTTTTACGACTACAGATAATGTAATTAGAAAAGCACTGCAGTTATGGAATAAATTTGCAGAGAGATTACTGCGGTTTAAAAAATGTAACTTGATTTAGAATATAAAACTTTTTATTTTAACAGCAGCGAAGATTTTTTCTGTAATCGACAATGTCAGTCAAGAAAGACTATCGAAAATGAAAGAATTCACTTTTGCAGAAAAACTGCAAAAGTAAATTCTGTATAGACTATCTTTATGATGGCCTTCACTGACATTGTGCAATTACATCGACACTATTACATAGTGACATATATACCACGACCATTGAATGTTTTTCGTTCTTCGTATAGTATACCTATAGGCTGTTTATAACTAGCAAATTATTGTTTCTACTATACGATGACATCATTATACATTCTTTTTTCTTTTTATCTTCCATCTATACGAGATAGATCGAAAATAACTTGCAAATGTGAGTTCTGTCATTTTCGATAGTCTTTCTTGGCTGATATTGTCAATTACAAAACAATTTTCGCTGCTGTTAAAAATAATAAGTTTTATATTTCAATATTAAGTCGTTCATTTACTTATATATTATATTTCAAAATAACTATGGCAGCATATATGGGCGCATTTCGATACTAAGTAACGGATTATTTTCGATCTATCTCGTATAGATGGAAGATGAAAAGAAAAAAGAATGTATAAGGATGTCATCGTATAGTAGAAACAATAGTTTGCTAGTTATAAACAGCCTGTTTGTATACTATACGAAGAACGAAAAACATTCAATGGTCGTGGTTAGGGGTGGCACTTTATCTTTACTTGATAAAGTAAAGTAAAGTTGGATTACTTTACTTTACCCAGTAAAGTAAAGTAAGTTACTTTACTTTACTCAGTAAAGTAAAGTTAGTCTACTTTACTTTATCGAGTAAAGTAAAGTAGATGTACTTTATGAGAAAAGTAAAATAAAGCAAAGTAAAGTAAAGTGAAGTATCTCTAAGTTTACCAAATAAGCACGATATAGTAAAATAAGATAAAGTAAAGCATGTAATTGATGGTTATTCATGTATTAGTTTATTATCACACTTTAATACGTCAAAAGTTGCGTCGAATTACAGATCCAAGGCTTCGAAACGTTTAAATTTGATTTTATTGCCTTGACAGTCACCATTGAACTCTGAATATTTTTCATAATTATATATTCCACATCATCACAATCCAATTTTTGGTACTTTGGGTACCCTTCGGGTATTGAAAAATTTTTTGTGGCTTTCCACAATCACAAGTCTTTATAATTCAATAGTACCAAGTATGTAGATTACAAATATCTCATTTGTTTTCAGAACGTGACACAACACTTGAGTTTCCGACATTTGAGCCTCAACAGTTGAATCCGTACATTAAAGCCCTAGATATTTGAGTGTCCTGAAGGTTGAGACTGTTGCCTTTTGACCTTCTTCATATTTAAGTCAACACATTAACTAAATGGAGTATTTATTACAACTAGGATGTAGAATGTAAGCGATCGTGTGGTGTGGATGTCGACGTGGATGTCAATGCGGACTGTGGATGTAGGATGTAGATGTGGATGTGGATGTGGGCTGTGGGTATGAGTGTGGGTGTAAATGTGGGGTGCCAGCGTGAATAGCAGTGTTTTATCCAGGTTTTCTTTCTCCGGAGGGCTATTTGAAATTTCGGGGATGCGAAAAAAATTTTTCAGAAGAGCAAGCATATAGCTTGTCCTGTGATGATCGCGAGTATCGAGGGAGCGAACTCGATTTTTATGGGAGCGCCGCCCCCTTGGGCACGCCTCTGAATAAAACACTGCTGAGTAGGGTTGTAGGTATACGTGTTGTTCTTTCTTCCACTCACCCTCACACTTCACACTAACATCTACCAACATCTACTCACATCTCCGCGTCTTACCTACATCTGCATACCCACACCTATAGTCAGTTCAAAAGTACTTATTCCAAAGGTTTCAAATAAACTCACATAGAAATTTTACTCACTTGACAAGAGTTAACTGTAGGAGGGTCAAAAGTGAAGAGGCTCGACAGTCCAAAATTCAAATATTAGAAAGCTCCGACGTCTAGAGTCCAAATATGTGCGCTTAACTGTCAAGGCTGAAAAGTCGAAGGCTCAACTATCTACGTAGCTTTCGAAGAGTGCTCAGATAATAAAAACGATCCGAAGCACTCCCTAACTCCAATAAAAACTACATTCTGTCCAGAAATTCCATTAAAATACGGTTCGATCTCGTCCAAAAATAGGTCTGTTTTATGCACAATTCGTTTCTTGATGAGAAAGTTTAAGAAACCGTTCAGTGTTCGATTTTTTTCTACCGATAACTGGCAAATATCGTCTCGATTGGATAATATTATCTTTCATATTTTGTCGCCTTAGGAAACTAGAGTATCTACAGGTGCAATGGTCGAATTTCATCGCCACATCTGCAACTGAATGTGCTCTTTCTGATGATACCATTTTAGACTCAACATTTCGAATCTGTTAAAGCACTTTTGGCTCAAAACTATATCCTTCAGATCCTGTTTGCGTCTTGCTTGGCTAATACTCTGTAGACCTTGAATAGGAAAATCCCATTTGACTTTAAAAAACTGTCATAGCTGAAATTAAAACGCAGAACTAAGTCGCCCTGTGCGAATCAGAGATGTCAACTCAGTTGGATTGACACGGGTACCCACTGCATTAGTATTTCCATGGGTCAGCCCTAGCCCAAACCAGTCGCATGAGTACACCCAGGGCTGACCCGAGTCGGCAAACATTGGGAGGTTGTTTCGGATTTTTGTAATGTGAATAAATTTTTTTTCTAACAGAACTCAAGAAAAAAATTTCATTTTCGCTGGGGAAAAACGAAAATTTTCCATTATTGGGGGATTGTCACAACCACCACAACCACTAGTCGGGTCAGCCCCCAGTAGATCATTTATATAATGCTACATTTGACCTACCCATAAAACGTTTCTGGTAGTTTTTGCGGATTAACCCCATAATGATCCTTGGAATAACCTGTTAAATACTCCATGTTTCATAAAAATTAGTTATGAAAAGGTTTTCCCAATAGGTGTGTGTTTAGAGTAGGAACTTTTAGTCAAGTGAAGTCCATTTTGACTTTGATTAAACGAATCTGGTCGTATTTTCATAAAATTTCTGGAAAAAAACTAGATCTTAATGGTGCTAGGATGTGCTTCGTATCTGTTATATTATCTGAGTACTTTTGAAAACAAATGAGATACTTGTAATCTACATACTTGGTATTATTGAATTATAAAGACTTGTGATTGTGGAAAGCCACAAAAAATTTTTCGATACCCGAAGGGTACCCAAAGTACCAAAAATTGGATTGTGATGATGTGGAATATATAATTATGAAAAATATTCAGAGTTCAATGGTGACTGTCAAGGCAATAAAATCAAATTTAAACGTTTCGAAGTCTTGGATCTGTAATTCGACGCAACTTTTGACGTATTAAAGTGTGATAATAAACTAATACATGAATAACCATCAACTACATGCTTTACTTTATCTTATTTTACTATATCGTGCTTATTCGATAAACTTAGAGGTTAGGGGTGGGACTTTAGCTTTATTTTGCTTTAATAAAGTAAAGTAAAGTAAAGCAAAGCATTTCACTTTACTTTACCAAGTAAAGTAAAGTTGGGTTACTTTACTTTACCGATAGAGTAAAGTAAAGTTGGGTTACTTTACTCAATAAAGGGTGGGTGATGTGGGTGTGGGTGGGTGTGGGTGTGGG